TCAGTCGATGTCGGACATTAAAGTATAAGCCACCACAACTAGATTGCTGCGTCATTAACTATTATTTTTAAGTTCCTAACGTTTTGTACGTCGAACCTAATTTAGGACCGACTTAGGGAAATACAAGCTTCCACTGTGAAAACTACTCTACAACAGAAACACATGATGGCATAGCCACACATCTCTCCATTTCAATTTAATTTTTTAAAATCATAGAATTTTGAAAGTGGTAAATTAACTCTGAATAAATATTCTTAAAGGCTCCTGTTGCATTTTCAACTTCTTTACCCCGCCTCTCTCTCTCTCTCTCTCTCTCTCTCTCTCTCTCTCTCTCTCTATATATATATATATATATATATATATATATATATATATATATATATATATATATATATATATATATATATATTCTTCATCGAGGCCCTTTGGCCCAGTGGTACGACGCTTGCGTTGTATCGTAACGGTTCAATTCTCGGTAGTAGATGCGCATTGCTGATGATTCCTGGTTAAGACGATAAACTACATCCGACAGCAAGGCTTTTGATCAGGAGGTTTTGAGGAGCGTGGAACCACCTATTAATTGCTGGTAGTCCTAGGGTCACCTTGACCCGGGGTGGTAGCACCTGTCAGGGTCCCAGCTGTGGGCAAATAGTTAACCCTTCAAAAGTGGTCAAAACACTATCAAAGGATAAAAAGAGGTTTTCATACCAGCAATACTTTGGAGGGGGGGAATTATTACCAACAATACATTTTTGGAAAAAAAATATTACCAGCAATAAAAATCTTGTCGGCATTAAATAACCCATTGAGATTGATATAACGTAAAGCAAAATAAACTAAACCTAACTGAAAGCAATGCGTTGTCGACTAAATAGCAATGGACGGGATGATTACTTTTACAATGTTTTGGAATCAAATTCAAGCATTTATCGTTTTTGGTATCAAATCGTCACAGATTTATATTTTACTGTCTGTCTATATCTCTGAGGTGAGGTATTATGATTACTTACATTATTTACATTATTCGGACCAACGACTTTAACCACTGGGCCAATGGATAAAGACGTTGGTTAGATCCAGTGACTAGACCCAAAGAGTTGTGCGTTCAAAAGCAGTGGAAAAACGAAAACTTGGAGAGTTGAGTTAAAGAGAAATAACTGAGATATCCGGAAGAAGCATGGCACGTGGAAGTAGAATAATCTGCCCCGGTGGACGAAATAAAGGGTTCGCTTCGAAATTCGAATCACCTGAAGAATTCCGGAGCGTACATCGTCCGAAACGTTGTGAATATGGCAATGAGGATAACAGTCCGAATAATGTAGATAATGCACGTAATCATAATACCTCATCTCAGAGATATAGAGGCCGAAACGTTGTGAATATGGTAATGAAGATGAGGATAACAATCCGAATGATGTAAATGATGTATGTAATTATATTTTATTGCTTCTTAAATTTGTATTAAATAAAATAATGCTTTATTGGTGTTGAATTTCTTCATTGAAAACATAAGTTTCCAGATGTTGAATTTAAATGCCATAATGCAAATTTTAATACGCAGAACTGAAATATATGAATTAAATCTAAAAGTATAAAATTGTTCGAAAGTTTAAAAAAAAAAAAAAAAAAAAAGCCGGTATTACTTAAGTAGACTGGTCCAATTGTAAAAAGATAGGGGAAAAAATTTTGAAAATAATTTCTACAGATTAGAATCCATTCCACCTTTCTTCAGACGCGATTTTTTGTCAGAATCGTTTGGTTTGGTTTTTGTTTTACGGTATATCAACACCTCAATGGGTTATTTAATGCCGACAAGATTTTTATTGCTGGTAATACTTTATTTTTTAAAACTGTATTGATGATATTCATGATGATAGTTGCGATGAGTAGGATTTGAACATGAGGATCGTGATGATGATTGTGATAATTATGATTGTGATGATGCTTGTGATGGTGAGGATAGTGATGATGAACATTGTGACGATGAGAATTGTGATGATGGGTATTGTGATGATGATGATGGTAATGTTGAGGACTGTGATGAAGATGATTGCGATGATGAGGATTGTGATGATGATTGTGATGTTGAGGATAGTGATGATGAACATTGTGACGATGAGGATTGTGATGATGGGTATTGTGATGATGATGACGGTGATGTTGAGGACTGTGATGAATATGATTGCGATGATGAAGATTTCTTTCCTTTATGGAAACATTTAATCTCCCTATTATTATTATTTATTCTTGTATATTATTTTTCTTTAAATATCGGAATTTTACGCCGATGTATTTTCGTTTCATTTGTTTTGGTTTGGTTTGTATTACGGCATATCAACCCAATGCCGACAAGATTGTATTGTTGTTAATAATTTTTTTCTTCAAAAATGTATTATTGGTAATAATTTTTCCAAAAAATTATTGGTGGTATTAAAACCTATTTCTATACTTTCGTTGTGTTTTGACCCCTTTTCAGGGGTTAACTATTTGCCCATAGCTGGGACCCTGACAGGTGCTTCCACCTCGAGTCAGTGTGGTCCTAAAAACACCATCAATTAAGAGGTGGTTCCACGCTCCTCAAAACCTCCTGATCAAAGGCCTTGCTGTCGGATGTAGTTTATCGTCTTACCCAGGATGGTGTCAGAATCGAAAAATAATGAATTTTTTAATTATTTTAGAAGTGGGGGTTCTGTTCATAATATCAGTAGAGTTTAAAATTGACCCCTGACTTTTTACAGAGTTATGTGAACTCAGTTTTTCTGCATACAAAAATTGACCTTTCTTTTCTTTTTACTAAAAAAATATTTTCAATAAAAACAAACGGATATATTTATTGCAAAACACCTGTTACGGGTTATCTGTGGCACACGCAATGTTAATATACTGTATGCCAAATATATGAAATTTTAGAACGATGACAAGATTGATGAAGTAAGGAAAATATGATATACATTTTATCAACGCTTTTATTCACCCAGTGGATAAAAACCTTTTTTAGGCCATATGTCCTTGGGGATAAAGGCGTTTGTTGAAGTAACCCAGTGACTTGACTCAAAGAGTTCAATATCTGGCCACAGATGAGGTGAACAAAAATTTGGAGAGCTGAGTTACTAAAGGGACATAAATGAAACTGAGATATCCAGAAAAAGGCATGGCATGTGGAACTAGAACAATCTACCCCAGTGGACGAAATAATGGGTTCGGTTGGATATTCCAACGCATATCACCTGAAGAATGCCGCAGTGTATTACTGCTGAAACGTCGTGAATATGGCAATAAAGATGAGGACAACAGTCTGTACAATGTAAATAGTTACAATGACTTGTTGGGGATGCGCAGAATGAACTAAGATTTTTGCTATGGTGTAAGAATATATCAGAAGGAATTTGTGTCAGGTTGCGCGATCTTCTCTTGCATCCACAACAATAAATAATACTTAATATAAAACAAGGCAAAACATGTATGCAATTTAAACAAACAAATGCATTTATATATAATACAAATATTATATACAAAATATTATTACAAGATATTATTGTGTTGTTATGTTTGTTAATGGATGAAGATTTTGTTTGTTTTTTGGTGTCTTGGTGTATTTGTATTACAGTCTATAAGAATTCGTAATTAGTAATTAAACACCGTTATGTTCGTGTTCTTTTTGTATTGTTTAGAAATAAGTCATTCAGAAGTAGTCTACCCTTAACTGTAAGTATGAAATATGTTCAATAATAGTATTTACTTAAATTGTAGTGAGCGTTAATTATTCACCTTGGATAAGTAAAGTTTTGCGAGTTGAAGTTCTTTGTATTCACAGAGTATTCTTTGAGTCGAGTTTGTGGGTGAGTCAGTTGTGGCTTTTTTTTTTCGCGGGAAAATTATAATCGCAAGTTACGTGGATTAGATTAGCGCTTCTCTGTGTTCGCTGGACTGACTGATTTTGTCAGTGAGAAATCTTCCTTATATAAGGTTTTAGATGTCAGGATCGGCTCGGATAAGTTTTGGCGCAATTTAACTTCCTCACGTGAAGTTTTTGAATTATCACGTTGCCAGCCAATAGAAATCGCTGCTTAGCACAGTAAGGTTTTTGATTGGTTAAGTTGATTCACGTAGGCGTGTAAAATGAAATGTTCCTGTTGCTAGGGGTGATAAGGTAAATGGACTAGTCCACAAACTCATCTCAGAAATATTGACAGAAAAAAAATTATAATTAGCCACAAAAGAGTTTTGTTTTGTAACTTGGGCGTCGTTACTCTTCCTGAGGAAGGCCGAGACAAAATGCGGCCCGGGAGATAACCCAGTTTTCAACATAGTCAATTTTTGTGTTCAGAATGAATTCAACGTCTGATTGCATAGGAAAAATTCCGTTTTGCGAAAGCGTGACTTAATTCGATCAAGATTTCACAGTCTTTGTATTTAATTAACACTTTTAAATCTCCGTAGAAAAAGTATTGTCTTTATGCTCCTCTCTTACTCATACTCTGTAATTTTCTCTCAAAAATCCTCTCTTTTGGTCCGCAGCTCATCTTCAGCAATCAATATGGCTCGGCCCAATTTTTTTTTACATTGTGCGGGCCTGTACTAACCAAGAAAGATAACTCTAAATATTTTTAGCTGTTATCTCCCTTACATCTTCACCCCCGTACATTAAATTATTATTTAAGGCTAACATTTAAAACATTCATTTTAGTGATCGACTTTTCCAAATTATGAATAATCCTTCTGCGACAAGGAGGAAATTCCATCAGAAATTGTCTCTCCCTCCTTGTCTGAGAAGGATTATTCATAATTTGTAAAAGTCGGTTCTTTAAAAAACAATAATCTACACAAAATGTCTTTTTGCTTTTTAATAATTACCTTCAAGAATATTTGTTGCCTAAATACACAGAAGCTATTATTTCCAATTTTACAAAACTTTTTCAAGATTATTCCGAGTACGCCAATAATGATGAATTTGAGTTCCAACTTCAAATTCTAATAAATTCTTTAGATAATTTCTACACTTACGACCATATCGAACTGGAACACTGGTTCTCGTACGGTCATCGAAGTTAAGCAACGTGGAGCCTGATCAGCACCTGGATTTGTGACCACTTGGGAATACCAGGTGCTGTAAGCTTGAATGTGCGGGTGGTGTAATAGATAATGGCTCTGAATTATTAACCAGAGTGCCGAGTTCTAATTCCGTTGAGTTCGTTATATTAATTTACGTGCAAATACCATTGGGAAAGGTACGAATCCACCTTGTCTCCTCCAACTATAGGGTTAATTAATAAGAATTATTTTACTACATCATTATTTGCAAAAATGAAATCTAAATCTGAAAATATTTTCTGGCTTTAAATAACCTACAAAACGCATATTTTCTACGAAATTCCTCGAATATTCATGCCGGTAAATGTAATTAATAATGTTTAATTAAAAACAGAGCATTTAGTTAAATAAATTGTATAAATATAAAAATAACGTATGAACAGAAAATATATTAAATAATTGTCGGACTTAATCCATTTCATTGTATGTTGTCATTGTTTACGTTAAGGTACGTTTCGTGAGCAGATATAGCCAATCGAGAAAAATCGTCCAAGGTGAGTGTTTATAAACAATAATTCGAACGTTACTGACCAGACGCTTCTCTGTAGCTAAATGGTACAACACGTAAGATCAAATGACGGTTTCCGTATAGGAATACAGGTTCGATTCCTGTCGGAGAACGCACACTTTATATGTAATTTCTCGAACATTCAGGCCGGTAAATGTAATTAATACTAATTAAAAACAGATCATTTACTTAAAAAAATTATTTCTATAAAAATAACGCCTAAACAGAAAATATATCAAATAAGTGTCGGGCTTAATCCATTTCATACTCTATCTATATAGCTTTTATCTTTAAAAATTCTGTTTTCGTATACAAAACAGCAAGGTTTAATAACTTTGGAAAAAGTCTGGGATCAATTTTACACTGTACTGTGTAGCGGTATTGACGGTCTAAATCGACTTTACATTTTTTTTTTACTTTACAAATGTGTAATCAAACGAAACCAAACAAAAGAAACTGTTGGAATTTTTGGGTAGCCTGCAGTACTAGTGAGCTAACCAAAATGAGCTGACTCATTTTATAGTCCACCTAGAGAAAGGTTAACCAATCAGAAAGCTCAAAATATTCAATCCGACGTGTATAAAGGCAGCCATTTTGTTTTTTCTCCAAAAATATCTTCACTTCCAACCTCTGATATCGAAGACCTGAAGAATTACAGAACAGCTGCTACTAGTGATATTGGCGTTGTTCCATTGAACACATTACGTACTGCACTGGATTCTATATTCAAAGACTACGGCAAACATGGTCAACAGAAACAACACGAAAAACTGTTTTTATAAGAACAATATTCATTTTTTTAAGTATTACAAAATCGACAAAGTCTGGCAATTACTTTAAGACATTTTTATGTTTATACATTCTTTTTATACATACAAATATATAAATAAGTAAATGCACTGTTTTATAATAAACTGTATTAATAACATTTACCGGCCTGAATGTCCGAGAAATATTCAGAGAAAATATTCGTCCTCTGACAGGAATCGAACCTGTATCCTATACGGATCCGTCATTTAGCCTGACGTGCATTAACCGATCGAGCCACGGAGAATCGTTCGATTAGCAATGTCTTAAAATAATTGTCGGACTTTGTCCATTTCATAATGTGTGACGTCATTTGTTTACATTTGGATACGCCATGAGCAGATATGAATGTACGTGAGAGAATCATGAAAGATTGTAGTTTAAAAGCAGTAAAATCAACCTTGCTAATTGAACGCTCCTCCGTTGCTCCATCGGTTAAGGCACATCAGGCTAAATGACGGTTTCGTATAGGATACAGGTTCGATTCCTATCGGAGGACGAATATTTTCTGTGAAAATTTCTCGGACATTCAGGCCGGTAAATGTTATTAATACTGTTTGTTATAAAACAGAGCATTTACTTAAATATGTGTATCTATAAAACGAATGTATAAACATAAAGATGTCTTAAAATATTTAAGTATGTAATGATGTACAAGCCTAAGGATTACTTCCCTTTGACTGGAATTAATGTCTTTCCTAATGAAATATTTTTATCTGAGCTCATAAAAAGTTGAATGCCGCTTAAAAATAAACGAGAGAGATGAAAGCATTTTTTACAGGATTGGACCAGTTTATTTAAGTAGTTTCCTCAATCGAAACGGGCCTGTACGTTGTTTGTGATTTCTATTATCTATTATTCCGTTCTTCGATAAACTCTTCTTGACGCTCTCGAATTCGTGTCCATGTGCACACCCATTCTTTTGCAATTTAAAAGGCTAAATCGGGGGGGGTTAACCCGGGAGGTAACCCCCCCTCACGCTCCCCCGGAGGAATTTCCGATCTTCAAGGGAGAAGAGATAATCTTTTTCTTTTTCTTGATTTTTATTTACAGAATTTCGAGCCCATCAGGAGTAAAAAATAAAACTTGGAATGAACCTTTTTTGAGTTGGGCAGTCTTGGAGAACGGGGAGGGGCGACATTCTGACGTACATTAAAAAGGGTGCATTGGTTAAAAATGTTTGAGAATTACTAGTCTAGATTGACTCATTAATACATACTGTCACAAAAATAGGAGGTCTATATGCCTGAAAATGGGTTGATAGAAATCTATATGCCTGAAAATGGGTTGATAGAAGCTTATATGCCTGAAAATGGGTTGATAGAAATCTATATGCCTGAAAAGGAGATTTTATAAGCCTTTAAGTAATACAGCAATTTTATGAGCCTATGATTAATAGTCGATTTTTATAACTGAATGTTTATATAGTCGTAACATTAATGACTGTTTTTTGTTGTTCTATACTTAATACCGGGTATTTTAGAAATCGATAATATTGGTTGCTTTTATAACTCTGTAATTTATATAGGACTTTCTAGTCCCTCAAGTTGAAAAAATATATGACGCGTTCGGCGGAAGAGGGTGTATTCAGCAAAAACTCGAAAATTGCTTTTTCACTGCCAATTATTCATTATATCATATCCAAGTATTTTAAAATAAAGTAAAGCCGATTACACAATATTCCAAACTCAATTTAAGTTTATAGTTCGTAACCATACAACGAGATGAGGTAACATAAACCGTAGATTTGTTTGCGGAATATCATTACATTATTGTTACATAATTATAGTGAAATCATTAAGTTTTCTTTTGTTGTTTTTTTTTTACAAAAGCATTTTATTTTCGGGTATATATTAATTTAAAATATTCCTTTTTTTCAGGATTTATTTTTGAAATGGAATAAGATCATTCTAAATTTCAGAATTTCGCTATTGCCCATCAAAATGACTGCAGGAAAGCCATCTAAAAATAACAATAGAAAAGAGAGGTAACAAATTGTAAGTGAAATAGCTCCATTTTGTTCAACTTAGGAAACTTAGCATTGCAGCCAAAGTATTCTAAAATGCTGTGAATAACAAAGGATAAAATGAAAAATACCTAACAACAAATCGAATATAGCATAACAATTTATATTATTTTTATTTATTTGTTATGTAACTAAATACATAATTGTCAACAATGTTTGCGTAAAACTTGATATTTCCTGTAATAAATTCATAAGAGATATTATTATTGTCATTATTTTACTTAAGTGTAAGGTAGTCCTACATTTACAATTCCTTACGGGTAACCACGAAAAGAAATGTTGATTCAAACTGCCTAAAACCTTTAAGCGTCTATTGCCCCAAAACTATATAATACCGCCTTCTGTTGAACGTGTCAAATTTGCAATTTTGATTCTAAAGTTATTTCCCTTTAATTACACTAATTATCTCCCTTAGATTTAGGAAGAGTTAACTCCCTTGAAAATTGTAGTAGTTATTCCCCTTACATTTTTTTTTTTAGAAAAGCGCTTAACTGAGTGGTTTAAGTGTTGTTACGACGCGGGTTCGAATTTTACCATGCCTGGTTTGTCAAGGAGAAGGTTTCTTGATAATATTATCGTGGGGAAACGATCCTTGCGTGAGATACTGTTAGAAAGCGCATGAAAAAAACATTCTCGTGTTAATCTAAGTCTTGTAAATGATAATGGATAATTTTGTAGATGAAGCTGCTCGGAAGCCGTCGGTGGTTGCACTAGCACGAAGTCACAAGTCATTGTGACCGAGGCTTTGACGGTACTGAGTTACTGTTGGTCCCACTGAAATATGCTCTCTGTCCCAGAAACCGTAATTAAGGTCTACTCAATATAGTTGCTGTACAAACTATAATTTGACTCTATGGGTACTGAGGAAACAAAAACGTGCCTGAGCAGGTGTCTGCAACAGGGATTTACTAGCTCCCCTTAAATACGAGCATACTCAAAAATTGTGTATTTATGGCTAGCTACACGATATTTGAGTATGCTCTCATATATATATATATATATATATATATATAAAAAGTGAACATTGAAGTTAACACTAAGAGGCAATGATTGCCTCTAGCATGAAACACACTGTCGCCTCTAAATGTTGACTTCTATGTTTTCTTTTATATTTACACACGCTCTCTGATATTGAGCATTTTATCGCATAAATATAGTACACCTTAAGACTATATTTCTTCATATATATATATATATATATATATGAGTAAAAATGACAATAGGAAAACTGGTAATTGCTGACGCGTTTCGTACAATGTGGACTTTATCAAAGATTTTGCCTTGGTAAAGTACGCATTGGACGAAACGCGTCAGCAATTACCAGTTTTCCTATTGTCATTTTTATTCATAAATATTGTCTTCTCTACTGGTTAAATCGAGAAATTTTCATTCATATATATATATATATATATATATATATATATATATATATTATTCATTATCTTTATATATATTCTCGTACATATATATATATATATTATTTTTTATTCATTATCTTTATTTTGAAACAAAATCTGAATTTGGACATGATCGGTCCTGACCAGGCATCTCGTCTTCACTTACCCACCGCCGAAACGTATCCTTTTTTTTCTTCTAATGAGACGCATTATTTTTTCATATAAAATATCTCCAAAAACCATATTGCGTTTTATAAATCGAAGGTGGGTAACGGGAGTTGTAAGTTTTAAGTGTGGGGTGAACATAATCAGTTAGATCCGATTCTGAGTCATTAAAAGTAAAACAAGTCCAGTATTTCGGAATTAAATTAACAACGTTTTGAGAAAAACTATTTATACTGTTGGGATACAGAAATATTGGCAGGAAACGAACGAAATTTCCGCTACAGTAACCCCTGCCTTTAGTAACACCTTCCTCCCTTCATTCATTCATTCATTCATTCTATCCTTCCTTCCTTTCTGTCTTCCTTCCATCCTTACTTCCTTTTTTTCCTTCCGTCCTTCATTCCTTCTTTCATTCCTTCCTTTCTCCCTGACTTCATTCATTCCTTCCTTCCTTCACTCCGTCCGTTCTTTCCTTCCTTCCTTTCTTCTGTCCTTAATTCCGTCCTTCCTTCCTTCCTCCCATCCTTCATTCATTCATTCCTTACTTCATTCATTTATTCATTCCGTCCTTCCTTTCTTCCTTAATTCATTTATTTCGTGCTTCTTTCCTTCATTCCGTCCTTTCTTCCGTGCTTCTTCCTTCTTTCCATCCGTCCTTCCTTCCTTCCTTCCTTCCTTTATTCCTTCCTTCTTTCATTCATTCCTTCCCTCGTTCCGCCCGTTCGTCCTTCCTTCATTCATTTATTCATTCTGTCCTTCCTCCTTTCATTTTTCCTTCCTTCCTTCCTTCCTTCCTTTCTTCCTTTCTTCATTCCGTCCCTATTTCCTTTCTTCCTTCCGTCTTTCATTCCTTCCTTCTGCCCTTTCTTCCTTCCTTCATTCTGTCCTTCCTTCCTTCCTTCAATCTGTCCTTCCTTTCCTTCTTCCTTCCGTCCTTCATTCATTCCTTTCTTTATTCCTTCATCCATTCCTTCTTCCCTTCATTCCTTTCTTCCTTCATTCATTCATTCCGTGCTTCCTTCCTTCCTTCCACCCGTCCTTCCTTCCTTCCTTCTGTACTTAATTCCTGTATTACTCCCTTCCATCCGTCTTTCAATCATTCCTTCCTTCCCTCCTTCCGTCTGTTCGTTCGTCCTTCCTCCTTTTCTTTTCCTTCATTCATTTATTCCGTCTTACCTCCTTTTTTCCTTCCTACCTTCCTTCCTTCATTCATTCATTCCGTCCTTCCTCTTGTCTTTTTTCCTTCCTTCCTTCATTTATTCAGTCCTTCCTCCTTTCTTTCTTTTTCCTTCCTTCCTTCCTTTATTTCTTCCCCTCTTCATTCCGTCCTTATTTCCTTTCTTCCTTCCGTCTTTCATTCCTTCTTTCTGCCCTTTCTTCCTTCATTCATTCTGTCCTTCATTCCTTCATTCATTCCTTCCGTCTGTCCTCCTTTCTTCCTTCCTTTATTCTGCCTTACCTTCCTTTCTTTTTTTCCTTCCTTCATTCCTTCTTTCCGTTATGTCTTAAACTATTGATCACAAAGTATCAGTATTTATGGTAAGCACTTTAAGAATAATACTACTGTATACTACGTTCTCGTTAGCACATGCTGGGTATTTTCGTTTGAATAAGTAGTCATTACGTTAATAGACCCGTCAAATACTGCCGAGCAAATAGGCGGAAATAAAGTTAGGTTTCAGTGTTGTTATGGCTTCTCTTCTAATTATTACATTCTAAATAGTTACCATAAATTTGGTACTTCATCTCTGTTTGTGATAAATTTGACATAATTAAGTTTTCATTCTGAATTATGCTAATTCGGTGGATAAAAATGGGGATAGCAAGGAGGGCTATGAAGTACAAGGAAAGAAACTGTTTTCCGATTTCTTCTTTTAAAATTTTGGCGAACGTTTAATAACACTGGCCAACAAAAAAAAATTTAAAATGGTGTCGAGACACCAAACATATTTTTTAGCTAATTTGAGGGGCGCTGAATCTGAAAATGACTTTACTTTTTCTTGGTTAGCTACCGTTTTTGTTGTATAGAAATTCCTCATTTTTATAAAAAAAAAAAAAAAGCATTTTTTTTATTTGTTTTCTGTATATATGATATTTGACCGATGGCAATATTTCCCAAAATAAAATCGTAGAAACCTCATAGAAACCTCTCAATTCTTATCTAAACCAACAAATATTGGTCTGTTTATTGAGAAATACTATTTTTTCAATAACAATCAGACCCTAAGTCTTTAAAAATAACACGAATGAATATACCAACAAGTATTTTCATCAAATCATTTAATAAACTAACAGCAGAAATAAGAACTTCGTAAACATAAGAACTATGGTAAACATTTTCTCTTTCTTGATTGTCTGTCATGTTCCATGTTATTTAAGTCCCTTCTGATACTCCAGCAGTATCATGTAAAATGGTATTGGTGCATTCAATTGGGATGTCTTTAGTTGAAGATTCTTTCCAACTGTGAAAACAAAATACTCTCAATATGCTTGGTTTCCTTCCGTAGTGAAGGGATAAAAGTGATAGGATAAATTTATGAATATCAAACAGAAGATTTTAGGGTTTCAGTTTTTTATGTCACCTTAATTATCAGGTTTACTAAAGAGTATTACTGATTAAAGTTTATCAGTTAATTTAAATTTTGTCGATAAATTGGAAAAATTCTGTATTTGTATTTTAAAATTTGTGACTCAAAAACACTTTTTCTTCTAAAAATAATTTATTTCAGGTGGCTGACATAAATTGCTCGGCCTGCCTGATGAGCTTCTCCGAGTTTTATTAACTAAATTTTTGCGGTCAGCCAAGATCTTAAATTAATCTTTTACCAAAAATGAGCAATTTCAGTAGAGCAAAATTGGTAGCTAACCATGAAACACTAAGATCACTTTCGGAATCAGCGCCATCAAATTAGCTAAAATCGTGGTTTGTTTTTTTGACACCAAAAATCGTGTTGACCAGTGTTACCAAAGAAATACGGTGCCTTTTTTCTATAATTTTCTTCTGATAATTCAAATCCATAGGCTACTGGTAATGTCCGCTATAGCTGCACCAGCTGTGATGACATCGAAGGTCGGCTGGATGCGAATACACCGATGCTCGCTATGTTCCACAGCTTCGTCGCAATGACCACTATTAGGGCCGTGGTCGTCGTCAACAAAACAATAACGACAAATGCTTTTCAAGCTATTTGTTGGGTCAGGAAATATCAAAAGAAATCTTCCTTCTGCTACGAGAAAACAAACTTTTTCTGACGTCTAACTACTGGCCACGGAAAACGAACCTCTACACATTCCCTTCACTGACTGCCCCTTCTCTCACTGTCCGATTCATTATATGGATACTAGCTGGGAGACCCACCACCCTATTCTATCCTCTCGTGTTACACCAACCGAAATCGGGGACCACCCACACAGATTTTGGGTGTTCAGTGTGTCAATGGAACATGCCTTCACGACTATGTAAAAACACTAATTAAATTTTATGTTCGACAATTCAAAGGTGGGCTGGAGTGAAGATTCCTAAGAAACCATGGTCATTAAATTGAGTTTAAAGAAAAAAGAATTTATCTATGTATTCATCTCCTAAGGACGTATGCGAAATCATATTGCTACACATATCAGTCAGTTATGTGCCATGCGTGATACACGCTTAGACGATCATGTATCTTTCGATAAATGACTGACGAGGCAGATTTTTTTTCCCGACAGTAGGTTGCCATTTCTATCTACGGTAGACCAATTGCAATCCAAGGCTATAGAACACGGTCTATCCTGCTATTTACACATAGCTGGGGGGGGAAGTAAAGTATGTGAATGTAATGGATTCGAACTCGGCTTTCCGATTCCTCAATCCGAACCGCTATCCATTACTCCAACGTGATTATATATATATATATATAAAGAATGTGTGTGTGCGTGTGAAATTACCCCACTTTTTTGCCAAAATGTCATTATTTCTCCTTCCTTTTTTTTGCCTTTCAGCGAAAAATATCTTATGAGACAAGACGTGCCTCGTTTCCCCCTCTACGAGATCTTAAAATATCATGGATGCCAACTTGAACACGTGTACTCTCTAAAATAAGGTTTATAAGAAGAAGAAATAGTGTCAAATTTAAATAAATCCATTCTAATTGCCATCATCTATGTTTCAGTTGTCACAACGTTTCAGCCGTTATGCCCTCCAACCTTCATCAGGTGTATATCGAGGCTGTAGGAATATCGAAAAATCGTAATGAGAGATGGGACAATGAAATCCGGCATGGATGATCATGTATGGAGGGAAAAGGGTAATCATCAGACCATGTGGTATGAAGTAAATATACTTGATAAAAAAGAACGCTGGAAAGTTAGACGTTTGAAAGAATCAGTAAATATGCTACACTATGAATGACCTCATTAGTAGGGATAACATAGAAATAAATACAATATGAAAGCCGCGAGAAAAACAAAAATAGCATAAAAGTTAATAAAAATATAAATAAAAATGACAGGCAGCACTAATCAACAGGCAGGTTAGGTTTAAGACTCCAATTTAACCACAGAGAACTATCCTACGCAAAAATAGTCTAGTGGGTTAAAGTATTGGTTCGATAATTTGGTGACAGTGTGAGTTTCGTTCAGCAGTGTTTACTTGGATTCAGTGGAGACTGGGCAGTACTAAAAATAAAAATCGATATAAACCTGATGAAGGCTGAAGAGCATAACGACCGAAAGATGCTGACAATAGCATGAATATAAATAGTGTAAATAATGATAACTCCTCGTCCAAGGAATTAAATAAATCCATTTTAAAAAATTACACTATCAGAGTGACAGAATTCAGCATTAAATAACCAGACAAAATCGACATGCTTGTAAAATAGGGTTTCTAAAATGGCGATGTCCAATGGTGGACGATATAGAGCGAAAAAAAATATTGGGCGATATATAGGATTTTGAGTATTAATTTTTTTTTTGTCAATAATAACACTAACAATAAAACAAATCTTGGTCATAAGACTAAATTTTATATAGCTTAAAATTAGTATCTGTCTATATTTTTGAGATGAGGTATTATGTACATTATTCGGAGTATTGTCCTCATCTTTGTCACCATATTTATTACAACGTTTCGGCCTTTCAGTATCTGTCTATATTTCTGAGATGAGGTATTATTTACATTATTCGGACTATCGTCCGCATCTTTGTTGCCATATTTATTACAACGTTTCGGTCATTGTACGCTCCGGCCTTCTTCAGGTGGTTGGAATGGCAGGTGGAACTAGAACAGTCTATCCCAGTGAGCGAAATAAAGGGTTTAGTTCGATATTCCAACCACCTGAAGAAGGCCGGAGCGTACAACGGCCGAAACGTTTTAATAAATATGGTGACGAATATGAGAACAATAGTCTGAATAATGCAAATAATGAGCTTAAAATTACTAGGATAAAAGCTGCCCTATCAGTCGGCATTTAAGCTAGATCCTGCGGGGAGCTCTTGGTTAGGCCTTCATCGCAATAGGTAGGGAGGAGTAGATGCGATAAGCAACAATAAACTACAGAAGAACTTAAAATTGATCTCTACATTTAAGTATTGCATTAATATTTAAGCTTACCTTTTAAAAGTTCAACAATAATTTCTCTGTCGCCACTTTGACAATGTGATGTACGAAGGTCTTTACTTTCCATACAAACAATTGTTTTTATTTCATAGATGACTTCCGCTGGATTTTCGCAATTAATTTCGATTATTCCCAAATTTATTCTATAAAAGTTATAAAAAATTATCTCAAAAACTCGTGTAAAAAAAAGTCGCTGAAAAACAATCGCAGTAATAAAAACGTGGAAATCTAAAGTTTCAGGGCTGCGGGTTCACATCCAGCCCGGAATGATTTTAATTTGCCCACAGAGTCGGCTTGATTCCAAAGTAGCTTATGTTGAGCTATGGCCTCTGGGTGTAAAGTTGAAAACACGACCAATTTTATTTTGAAACACTAATTTGAGAACACTATATTTTTTTTTATTTGAATATGAGCTATTGAAAGTTAAAGAGTTCTGTCCGTTTAAATGTTTTCATCAGTAGAAGCCAAGATGGCGGAATTCGAAAACAATCGCAATAATAGAAACTTGGGAATTCTAAATTTCAGGATGGCGAATCCGGATCCGGCAGGAATATTTTAATTTGCTCACGGAGTCGGCCTGTTTCCAAAATGATATGATGGGTTACGGCCTCTAGGAGTAAAGTTGACAAGTGTGAAACACTGACATTTGCATTTATTATATATAATAATAATAAGAATAATAATAATAATAATATCTGGCCACTCGTATTCGAGGATACCCGTCTCCTAGGGTGACTAGGCAATCCTTATTTCAGACGCTCGCTCAGGCACTTTTTTTTTCAACACCCACAGAGCCAATCTGTGCTTTATACTGCAACTATGCTGAGCAGACCTTAGTTACATTTTCTGGTAGTGAGCGTGTTATCTAGAATGATCAACAATCTGAACACAACCAGCAGAGTCAAACCCT